GGCACATTTCATTCTCGTCATAAAATAACAATGAAAAATTTTGAACTTTTTGAAGGAAAATCGTTTTAAGGTTTTGAATGCTACAAAACTTATTGTACTATTTATTTTAAAAAACAATTTAAAGGTATATTTTTTCTTAATAGTGTAGGCATGGTTAATTTGTTACATTCTTGTAAAAATGAAACGAAGTTACGCTTTTTTTGCTTTTTTTTGCTTTTTTATATGAAAAAATGTGTTTTTTACATTGGTCGATCATGCCGATCCCTTATTAAAAAAAATAAATCTCAATTTTTGAGGACAAATCTTGTGTTCGATAGTAATTAAAATTTATCATATAATTAATTAATCTTAGTATTATTAATTAAAAAAAATTTGTTAATTTTTTTATTTTATAATAATTATCAAATCAAAAATTTAAATAGTAATAATTTTATAAAAATTTAATAATACTAGTAATATAATATAGTTTAATTATTTTAATTGTTTAACTTTCAAGTAAATAATAATTTTAATTTTTAAGTTTTAATTTAAATTTATATTGTTAGTATAAAAAATTAAATAAGTGATATTATTAAATAATATTATATAAAATTTACTAATTATAAGTAATTTTATATTTAATAATCTTATTATTGATACTAATATGTTAAATGAATTAGCAATAAGTTCTATTTGCTTATTTATTTTGTATAAAATAAATAGTTCTTTGATATTCAAATTAAGGTTAGATTCAATAGATGATGCAATACTACAGTGTTATTATCTATAGCATAATCAAATATCTAAGTTTTTCGAATTGAATTCTTTTTTCGCTTTTCGAATCTTTACTTAGAGACCTCCGCAATATCGATTAAATCGATTAAATGTTTGATAAAGATGAACTGAAGCTCGCCTAGGATAATTACGCTTTCCAATTTGTATGAAACAAAAAAGAAAAACTTTTGCCAAATCAATACTTTTCGAATACTCGTTTTAAAGGATCATTATCACGTTTATCGACAGCAAAGGTTTTTTTTTTTCAAAAACGAGTTTTGATTGGTGACTTATGTGTATATAAATATGAAGGTTGAAAAGTTCATAAATATACCACTTCTTTTAAAGTGATCCGAATTTATTGTTACCGAATATTAAACTTAATAGACTTGTTTAAAAACAAGTTCATAATAAACAAACCTTAATTACCTGGTAAAACGGAAATTTTTTTTTGCTCACATGATACCATCAATACAAAAAAGGTGATTTTTAGTTTATTTTTTTTTTTATTTTCATGTTTTAAAAGTTTTCGAAAATTAAAAGTTAAAAAGGAGAAAAAAAAAAAAAAAAAAAAAAAAAAAAAAAAGGAAATTAAAATGAGGGAAAAAAAAGTTTAAGTTTTTTAATCTTTATATATATATATACATTATGTAAGAATGTACAATTTATATAAGTGAATTTTCAAATTTTTTTTATATTTTATAAATAATATTAACAAAAAAAATAAAAATCGAAATGAGAATTTTTTTTTTATCAATTTATATACAATTTTAAAGGAAAAAGAAGAAAAGAAAAAAAAGGATAAACAAGAATTATGTATAGAGAAACGCGATAAAAAAAGCGAGTTCATCGAATAAAGAAACGAGTAAGAAAATCGATTTAAAAAGGATTTTTTTTTTTTTTTTTTTTTTTTTTTTTATAAAACCACCCAAACAATTCTATTACAACGAATATATAATATAATGATCTTTTTTTTTTTTTAAAAAAAAAAAAAAAAAAAAAAAAACATGGGAACTACAAACATTTAAACCAAAAAATGAAATTAAAGAGAAGTGCAAAAAAAAAAGTTTTTTTTTGTGATTATTTTGTAAAAGGATTTTGACATTTTTTTGTGAGGATTTCGTAAATTATATAATGGAAAAAAAAAAGTCGACATTAAGAAAATGGGTGGATTGTGTTTTTTTTAAAAAATTTTTTAATAACCGAGGATGAAATCGTGAGAGAAATTTAAGAGTTTAGAATTAATTTTATAAAAGTCAAGAGATGCGCATTTTCAAAATATTAAACCGCGCCAAGAACTTCTCTTTGTTGCTTTCGTTGCTCTTGTGTTTGTTGAGGTTCAACGACGCTAACACCATCTTTTTCAGAATCTAGAGCGATATTAGCAAGTCTTTGCTCAATGTCAATCTCATCTTCAGCATATTCATTTTCGATATAATCCCAATAGAGATTGTATTCAAGTTCATCGATGCCTGAAATTAAAAAAAAAATTTCGCACGTTTATTATCGGTTTTATAGTTGCATTATTTAATCACATTCAAAATCGAAAATCGAATTATATGTTCATACCGCGGCCACTGTGAACGTCGTCCAAAAACCTTCGCAACATTGGCCAGACCTTTGGTTTGTTAGCCTCAATGGTACGTTGAATCCTGGTGATAACAGTTTCCCAGGGAAGATTTTGTCGATTATTTAGTTGAAGTGTTTCAAGAAGCTGAATGTACAATCCATCATCACCAATCAGTGCGTGCGCTGTAGCAAGGACATCATCGTTAAGTCCTATTTTAGAAGAAGAAATGATCGAGGGGATTAATTAAAAAAGGACGCAAATAAAGACGGATAAACCAATTTTCATCCAAATAATCTGAAAATTACCGAGTTCATCACTTGCTTTTTGTTCCGCAAAAACTCTTTCCATTCTTCGTTTAGTAGTCAAATCACATTCCTCATTTAAAAACCGCTGTAAACCACTCCAAACTTGTTGATGACTAGCAGAAGCATTATCAAATTGCATCGCTTTTAGATAACCATCCATTAAACGTCTGTCATGTCTTAATGCTAATTCAACTTTTTCAAGCATATCAATAGCATCACAAACTCTCATAAAGGTACTTTCAAAATCACTATTCTGTTCGGCCTGTCTTATCATTACTTGAAAGTTTGTTAATAAGCTCGGGTCTGAAGAACGACGGAAGAATGGTAATACATTTTCAACAACGGCTTTCATCGGCGTAATGGTTAATGTACTAATAAAATCTGAAAAATCGCTATCATCAGGTAAAGATTCTCGAAACGAACGGAAAAATCCATAGATGGCATAAGGTGTAGTTTGGTCAACGTTCTTGTTTTTTCTCATATTCATTTTGTTCATTTTTCTTTCTTAGTAAAAAAAAAAAAATTAAAAAAAAATTTTGTTAAAATTTGGTAATCCAAAGAATTGTTATTATATAGTTCCCTTTCAAAAAGTAAATTATTTTCAGGGTTTATGAATAACAATGAGATGAGAACAAAGGAAAAAAAGGAGAAAGAAAACGTAAAAAGGAAAAAAATTAAATAAATTTTCAGGAGACTTTTTAATATATATATAGCTCACCTGAGTTATGTTGTTGTGCAAAGTATTTTTTTTTTTAAGGAAAAAAAAAATAAAAATAAAAAGAATAAAATGATAAATGTAGATATTTGTGAACAAAATAAATATGTGATGATTATATAACAATTCCTTGTAATGATGATGATCAAGGTGACTCTGATGTATGTCATACAAATTTAATGTGAAATTTTTGTACCAACGTATCCTCACCTACATAATTTTGTATAAGGTTTCTATTGTTATGAACAAAACAATGAAAATTTTGGCGATAATAACTTTAGAAGGCAACATAAGCCCAAGAATACCACCAAATATGGGGAGGATGCTACCAACACGAACAATGACATGTCATCATAAGAGATACTAATACCTCTAGATTTAAATAATTTTAACCAAACATGTTGTAATATGTGGGGTTATAATAATTCAGTACTATGATAACGCCACTTTGGTGATAAACGCCGGACGACTTAAATTCGTTTGACTATCTGCTGCGTGATTATCGGTACCAATCTTTCCTAATTAAACCACTTTTGACAAATTGTCTTTGTTCTTTTTTTTTTTTTTTTTTTGCATGTTTCGTGGTGATTTGCATGAAACTTGTTCAACGTGTGAATTTTTTTTTGGATTAGCGATCACGCGGGATTTTGCGTTATCGTTACTTGATATCACAGAGCTGTTTATAAAACCCCGATTTTCACAAGAATTCATGACATTTAGGATATATTAAAAAAATGTGGCTGAATTTCCTATAAAAGTTTTCTCGACAATATAAAAAAAAAATCTTTTTTTAATGAAATTTTGTGGCGGATTCTGTTTTAAAAGATTTATGGTAAAGATGTATGAAAATAATTATATAAAAGAAATCTGAAAATTGAATACAAGCCAAAGATTTCATAAAATGATTTCCGATGTCCGATATGATTTTTTTTTCCCTAAAGAAAAAGTCGAATAAGGTCGACTAATACCGCTCGCCATGTTGTGGCGCAGCAAGATTACGATACAGATTACACGGAATTTTTTTTTTTATGCAGTATGACTTTTAAGAACAAAGAGATGCATAACATCGATTATGTTTAAGAAAAAAAAAAAAATCTAATAATTAATAATTATTGACAAAAATGTTTCCAAAAGAAAAACGGTTCAACAAATCCAAAAGGAACATTCTGCTACCAAATAAAACATTAAAAAAAACGAGAATAAGACCTAAAATGTATATAATTAAAATAAAATCGTAAAATGTCAAGCAATGTAATGCGTTTCTCACGGAATATGTTCTCCTAATAACGGTTACACCGTAAACGATTTCCGATACTAATTCCATATTTAGTAAAATAAAATTTGAAAATTTCATTCATTCAATGGTTACAATGATTATTGGAAACACCGCTTTTTCTGCCAAGCAATTCTAATTTTAATCCAGGTAATTTTTCTTTTGCGCGTGTAGTGAATTCTTTCTTTTTAGAATTCCTACCATGATCTGTTAGAATTGTATAAATAAAGTCGATTCCTCGTTAAAGCGAATCGTTGAAAAGAAATTTATCATTTTGAAAATTGACATCACCAAAGAAAAAATCGTCAATTTTTTTTTTAGTTTCCTTATCATAGATTATTTTACAATAAAATCTTTACCCGTGATAAATCAATTTATTAAAAAATGTGTCGCAACAAGTGTGCTCGTCGTGAAATAAAAAATCAGCGTCGCGAGGAGAAACATCGTCGTCGGGAGGAAAAGCACCATCGTCGTCAAGAGAAACGTCGTCGTAAGGCCGAATTCAAAAGTGAAATGAAAAATCAGGCTAGACGATTTTTAACTGATTATTCCAACGTTGATAACAACAATTTTAATAATATCAATTACCCCCAACGACAAAGATCACCTGTAAAGGTTGAACAAGATGTTGCAAGTCTGAGAACAATCTTTCCCGAGTGCGACCCAGAATATATTCGAAATTGTCTTTTCAACGAAACAAGGGATCAAATAATGGAAAGGTTATTATCCGAACCTTACCCTAAAATCACCCCTGAATCACCTTTGACTCCACCCACTGCGCCACCACTTCCGGTTCGTATTAACGACGAATTCTCCTTCAATGATGAAGCACCCCCATCATATGAAGAATCATTAGAACAATCTCCGCCGTTACCAAGACGTCATCAAAGAAACTCACCATGGGTTGCACGACAACAATCATCACATCAGGCACATGACTCACCGTCGCTCTTTCCCGTTAAAAATATTTTCTCCATGTTTAAACCTTTGACGGTTGACCAAGCATGTCACAAATTTTGTAATACTTGGACGCGTCCAACCCCATCCAATTTCAGAACACAACCACTATCGCAATCATTCAAAGTGTTACCAAAAGATAGATATTCAATTCAAAGAGGATTTACCAATAATTATCCTTCAAAAGAACTAAATTCTCATAACATTTCAATAAATGATTGGCAGTTTTTTATCAGCGGATTAAATTCAATCCTTGGTGCAAACTCGATTAATGGAGATTCAATCTCTGTTAGTCTGAAATGGGTATCATGGATGAGTGAAACCATGGATCAAAAACAAATGGAAGCTAACGTTCTAGCAATAAATGAATATCTTGCCAAATGGAATGATTTTTTCTTTGCTCCAAGAAAGATCGAGGTACAATTTTTGGAAGATAAAACTTTAACGACGACCATAAAAAATAAACATCAACCTTTCGTACAATATTTATTGGTGAAATCTATATAGTCGTCCTGTAATAGGTTTGTGATATAATTTGTATTAGATTAGTAGTTGGCATATGAGAGAATAACATGTATGTATTTATGTATGTGTATGTGTGTGTATGTATTTCTATGTATAATTTTCCTTTCTTCTTGACACGAATTATTTAAACATTTCATTACCATAATCATCATAATAAATATCAATGCAATTTCATAAAATTAGACAAGATAAAAATTTTTCTTTTCATCATTGTAATAAAAAAAAAAAGGAACCGACATAATGCTGGTTTATAGGAGATAAATAGATAAATAGCTGAAGTATTTTCATCAAATTCCGAGTTTAACTGTTTGATATGCATCGATCACTTTTACCACTGGTTTTATCGAAGCTGATCATTTACGTACATGCGTCATACGAAATGAGATAAGACTGTAACGTAGTATGAAATAACAAATATGCTTAACACTTGGGTAATTATTTTTTTCCTATGCGATCAATCAATTTCGCCTTGAATGATTGGCAGAATTTTAAGGTAGAACCGAGAAAGAGAATTTATATCATTATTAATACCGCAAAAAAAAAAAAGAATAAAATTAAAAAATTATTCGACAAAAAAAAAACGCGGTTATTTTCTCTCCTCTCTAAAATTTGTTATCGCACGGTTAAATAGTTAATTAGGATAAAAAAAATATATATTTTTTTTTTTTCCGATTTTTCCGAAAATTTTCTTTTATCTAACAAGTATGCATGAATAAATCTCGTGTTACCTCAACAATTTGAATTGCTTTTCGAGAAGTTTTCATCGCCTTTTTGTGGAAATGGTTAATTACCTTTATTTTGTTAAGGATGATTCGTGCCATCAGTAATTTATTTCATAAGCCAATAACATCGATCATGTATGCAATGTAGAAAATTAAAGAAAATTAGAAAACGAACCATTCGTAATGAAATTAGTAAATGCATCCGAATTATCCAACAATTAAGTCTTAATAAAAATGTCAACGAAAAATCATTTCTCAACCCTTTCTCTCTCTCTTTTTTTTTTTAGAAAAAAAAAAAAGGAAAAATCCCATTCGAACGAATATTATTAAAATATTCGATTCTTTTACCTTCTTTTTAATTAATTAATTATTTTTTTTTTTTTTGTTTTAAAACAAAAGGAATACCTAAGTATTCCTTCTTCTCTCTCGATTTTTCCTATATACACATTCATTACCCCAAATCCTTTTTTTTTTTATTTTATTTTTTCTATATTACCACTTTTCCTTATATCTCACCTTCATTATCCGCTTTCCCTTTAACCTCCTTTCCATTAATAATCGTCTCCTCCTTTAAATCCTTTTCCTTCTTTCTCTTTCACTTTCCTACCACCTTTCACCTAAATCAAAGACTATTCATAGAAAGTACCGAAACTTTTGTGATCTAAACATGTATCCCAATTATCAACAACCACCACAACCACCTGTCCAAGGTTTTCCCAACGTTGGATATGACAACGGTGGTTATTACAATAATAATAATGGATATGATGGATATAATAGCGCACCTCCTTATCATGATCATCAATTGCAACGACAAAATAGCAATCCTAATCATCAGGCCTTAAATTTAAATGGTTACCAACAATCGTATGCCGATAAAAGAAAGGTAAAGAGATTCATTGTAATTTATTGCGTAATTTATTGCGTCTTAAAGGAGCGACTAAATTTTTTGTTCTTTGGGATTTTTTTTTTTTTTTTTTTTTCCTTTCTTTCTTTTACAATTAGTCAATTAGACATGTAGAATTGGTAAACGGAAATTTGGTGTTTGATAGTCCCGTACCAGACAAAGTTCTTCAAAGTGTAAAATCACAAACCACAGAATTTACACACATGACCTATACGGCAGTAACATGTGATCCCGATGATTTTGTAAGCAACAATTATATGCTTCGACCATATATTTATCAAAGGAAAACAGAATTAATGATTGTAATGACAATGTATAATGAAGATGATCGATTGTTTATCAAAACCATGTCATCGGCGATTAAAAACATAGCACATTTATGCTCGAGGAACAAGTCAAAAACGTGGGGAAAGGAAGGGTGGAAAAAGTTGTCGTAGTCGTTGTAGCGGATGGACGTAATAAAGTAAATCAACGTGTATTAAAAGTTCTTGGTGCAATGGGGGTTTATCAGGAAGGTATCATGCAAGATAGTGTCGCCGGCCAGCCTGTCACGGGTCATTTATTTGAATACACTTCTAACATAATGGTTGATAATGAGTTCAATATAGCTGGACAAGAAAATCCTCCGGTACAAATTCTTTTTTGTTTAAAGGAAAAAAATGCAAAGAAATTAAATAGTCATAGATGGTTCTTTAACGCTTTTGCGGCCCAATTAAAACCAAATGTTTGTATATTATTGGATGTTGGTACGAAACCTTCTCATACTTCTGTTTATCATCTATGGAAAGCTTTCGACAGAGATCCGAACGTTGGTGGTGCTTGCGGTGAAATTAAGGCCGAACTTGGCGCCGCTTGGAAAAATTTAATTAATCCCTTGGTTGCATCTCAAAATTTCGAGTATAAAATGTCAAATATTTTGGATAAACCTTTGGAATCGGTATTTGGTTATATCTCTGTATTACCAGGTGCCTTCTCTGCTTATAGATATAAAGCATTACAGAATACCGAACCCGGTAAAGGTCCTTTGGCTTCTTATTTTAAAGGTGAAGCTATGCATGGGGCTGGTGCTGCCTCCGCTGGTATCTTTGAATCTAATATGTATTTGGCCGAAGATCGTATCTTGTGTTTTGAATTGGTCGCAAAATCTAACGAATCTTGGACTCTAAAATACGTGAAGGTAGATATAAAACAAACAAATTCTCAGCGTATGAACTCTTTTTAAATGTTAATTTAATTTAATTTATTTATTTTTTTTTTTCTTTTTAGTCAGCTAAGGCCGAAACGGATGTACCGGACAATGTGCCGGAATTCATTTCACAACGTCGTAGATGGTTAAATGGTTCTTTCTTTGCCGCTTTCTATTCCGTTGCTAATTTCACGCGTATTTGGACTTCTGGTCAACCATTTTTGCGTAAAATCCTTTTACAAATTGAATTCATTTATAATTCGATCAATCTTCTCTTCAATTGGTTTGCTCTGGTAATTAAATAATTTTTTTTTTAAAAAAAAAAAAAAAAAGAATGTATCACATGAATTTTCGTGTTAATTTGCTTTCATCGTATAATTTGCAGGGAAACTTTTATTTGGCATTCTTTTTCTTGACATCTGCTACAACTTCAAATCCAAAATACGATCCATTCAAAGGATACGGAAATGACCTATTTAATTTAGTCCGTTCATTATACTTGATGGTTATAGTAACAATGTTTATCTGTTCTATGGGTAATCGACCACAAGGTTCTAAAAAAACTTATCTCCTTTGTATAATATTATTCGCGATAATTATGGCAACGATGTTATATTGTGCATTTTATACGGTTTCCATTAGCGTAAATGAACTTGCCGATTTTAAAAACGTAGCAAGTATAAAGAACGCATTTAAAAGTGCCGAGTTTCGTGATATAGTAATCTCATTGGCCTCAACTTATGGATTATATTTTGGTTCATCAATCTTACATGGTGAACCTTGGCACATGTTCACTTGTTTGATTCAATACACTTTATTGATTCCTTTTTATGTAAATATTTTGATGGTATACGCTTTTTGTAATACTCATGATGTTTCTTGGGGTACCAAAGGTGATAATGGTAACGCTGGTGGAAGTAATGCACAACCTGTCGCTGGTAAAGATGGTAAGAAATTGATGCAAGTTGAGGTACCACATGAAAAAGCCGATGTCAATGCTGTTTATGATGATTTGATTAAAGATTTGAAAGTTAAAGTACTGGAAGAAAAACAACATCGTGATGCTGCTACTAAAAAGGATGATTACTATAAAATGTTTAGAACTAATTTAGTGTTAGCTTGGATGTTTTCAAATGCCGCCTTGGTTGTCTTTTTCACTTCAAATACTTGGAATGAATTGGTTCAGAGTAAAAACGCTAGTATTTCCTATAATCCTTATTTAACGTTTGGTAGGTATTCCTCGCGAGATAATTATTAATTATTATTATTTATCATTTATTTCGTTTTATTAATTTACTAATATGTTTTGCTTTGTTGCTTCGATAGTGTTTTGGTCGGTTACTTGCCTTTCGGCTTTTAGAGCTTTCGGATGCGTTTGGTATTTGGTCCTTAGATTGATTTATGGATAAACGGTATAAAAAGAAACAGAATAGAATAGTAGACAAAAAATACGTTTATCACGGTTTTTTTTTTTTCTTCATTAGATACGTATTCATAAATATCCTTAATTCCGATTGTGAATTCAATGTATTAAAAAAATTCGTTTATTAATAAATATCGTGATGTAAATTACGTTCACATAAAACAATAAATATCTATAAATATTATATATTACGTAATGTATTTTACGATTCTATGATGTAGTCAAGCATTAAAATATAAATGATTTCTAATACAAATATATAATTTACCTGTACTTTGACGCTATTGGTTGTATGGTTTCAAGGTTTCAAGTGCTTTGTTCATATAACCAACAGCTGTTTTAACATCATTGTAATCCAACGCGCTACTTGCAAATTTACAATATTTTTGAACGGTGGCGACCGTAGTCGGATCTATTTCATTTTGTGGCGTTTGAGGATACGAGTACATGCCATATTTTTGTCGACTTTGTGGGTAAGATGCGGGTGCTGAAAATGAAGGATGTTGATGTGGGGGATTGACGAGATTAGTTGGCTGAGTGTAATTTTGAGGCGGTGCTTGTGGATGAGGTGAGAAGGAACTGTGAGGAAGAAGAGGTGTCTGTGGTGGTGGTGGTTGTTGTTGATGAGGTTGTTGAGAAGGTTGTTGAGAAGGTTGTTGAGGAGGTTGTTGAGGAGGTTGTTGAGAAGGTTGTTGATGAGGTTGTTGAGGAGGTTGTTGATGAGGTTGTTGAGGAGGTTGTTGAGGAGGTTGTTGAGGAAGTTGTTGAGGTTGAACGTAATCATTTGTAAAACCTGCATGTGGTATAGAAGGAGGAAGTTGTGGTGGAGTATCATAAAAATTAATTCTATTTGCGCCAGGTGGAGGAGAATAATTCAGGGCTGACGGTTGCTGAGCGAATGGATTATCAGGAAAATTTCCATAATCATTTACTTTTGGTGGAAGGGGTGGTACGGTTTGCTTCCCAATTAAATCTAAATTGTCAAACGACGAAGCCAAATCTTGAGCATTTGAAAATGTATCGATAATAGAACCAGGTGGTTGATCTTGAGTTGGTGCTGATGGAAATGATGGAAACGTGTCGTCATCTAAAGAGGGAGTCGTTGTTGATGCTAAATCCGACGATATTGGAGCCGAAGAGAACGCGACATTATCAGGAAGATTATTATTAATTGTCTGATCATTTCCTTCGAATCCTGGCTGTTGCAAAGAGGGTTCACCTCCGGGTGGTCCAGCCACAGGAGTTCGACCTTCTTTTAACGCCTTAGTTATATCGATCGCTTTCCATTTTGCATATTTTATTCTATCTTCAAGCTGTTTAGAATAATTTCATAATTAAAACCTATATATATATATATTAAATAAAATTAAAGATTACAAAAAAAAAAATTTACCTCTGGACTGATATTCCCAAATAATTTGAGCAATTCTATATATAAAGATGATGCCAAAAAAGTTTTGGCCGTATTTCTACATATCCAAAAAATAATATATATTATATACATTTATATACATTAGAACTAAATTAATCAATTAATTGATAACTTGGTTGCTACAAAGCAAACCTTGTCGCTTTTCCGGTTCTATCTTCATTATCCGCCTTTGTGAAAACTTTCAGTGCAAAATTCTCCACGTATGCCTCACCAGCAATGTCATTTGTAACAGCTTCATTATCTGCAAGTTCTTTCTTCTCCTAAATAATCATTTGAAAATTGAGATATTTTAAACATAAATTTACATTGCTTATTTAGTTAAAGATGTCTTACTTGTTCTAGAATATCTAATAATTTGGTAAGGAATAATTTGCTCTCCTTGTCCTTTGTTCCCTTTTCAAGAGCAAGTTTTGCGGCATAATAATTACCTAGAAACAAGAAAAAATGAGACAAAGCTATAAAAACGCGCAGGTGAATATAAGTACTTTGAAAAGTCTTACAATAATAAGATATCACGGGCTCTTTTTTTCGCGTCTCTTGACCTCGTTGAAGGTATTGATTAATAAATTTCAACTCTTCCGGGAGTGAAGGAAGCGAAGCCATTGAATAATTGAGTAATTAGTAATTAAGTAATTGAATATTAAACAAAACGAGCGAGTTAATCTAAGACGATATGATATCACGTTCCACGATGATTAAGTAATCCAAATTATTTGCTGCGCAGATTTGACTTCCTTATCAAGTTTAAGTATTGGCTGACGTCTCCTCACTACTCAAAGATATAATTACAAAGGCGTAATTTGTCGGTGGCCAAATTCAATTGGTGATCAACCACAGTATTTTGGCCGCATGAATTAAATTCTTATTCATTAAATAAGAATAAATATGATTTAGTATTATAACTACTTATAAAAAAATTTAACGCTTTATATATTTTTAGCTTTTTTAAGCAATATATTTACTTAATATATGATAAACTTTTAATTCAAATTACTTTAATTAAAAATCTTTACTAATAAAATATTATGAACAATCTTTTTCTTTTGTTAAAACATAAAATTTGTAACTGTTGACTTTTAAAATGTATTAATAACTTAATAAAGAAAATAATTATTTTAATTGTTTATAATATTTCCTGTTAATTCTTTAGATATATGAAAAAATACTATGAAGAAGTTTAAATCAATAATCTTATAGAAATTTTAATTAATTACTAATTAAATTATATTTAACAGACAAATTGTATTTTAACAGATATAATTATTTTATTAATAATTTATAATAAATGTCAATTGACATAATTAATTTGTCATCATTAAAATTAATTAGTATTAAAGTATATTTATATATATATACATAATAATATGCTAATCATTATATATATATATAGTAAATTTATTATACAATATACACTACCCTATCAAAAGTATCCAGTCAAGCTTTTTTTGATTTTTTTGAGATTGGATATATTAATTAATATAAATTTTTTTCTAAAATAAATGCTCTGGTTCTGATGATTAAAATTTGTTTATTTGTTATTTTTTATGACATATATATCAAAATTAACAATAAAAATAAAAACAATAATCAATTTTGCATAGTGATAATTTTTAACTTTTCTTACTACATCATCAAAGTATATATTCATACTGCAAAGAATGTCAAAAATTGGATTATACAAAAAGATTAAGATTCTTCAGATCTTAATCCTATTTGAACATTTGTGATATAAACTATAATGGAACTTCAAAAATAATTGAAGCATTTAAAAGATTTATATAAACTTAAAAAGTATTGTAAGAAGAATAGAAAAAATTCTATCAAAACTTATATTAATTTAATTAAAAGTATGTAACGTCAAATAGAAGCATGTATTGAAAGTCAAGGATAGCCATCTAAATATTAAAAATTTATAATATTTATAATATAATATAAATTTAAATTGATTGACCAGATACTTTTGATAGAGTAGTATATATATTACTAATTATACTATTCAGGTTTGCTATATTTTCAGTCATAAATAATGCTTTGAATGGTTCAGTTCAGTTTAGATTATAGGCTAATCCAAAACTGAACTAAACTGTAAAACTGATAAAAATCTGAACTGAACTGAAAATTTTGAATTAATCCAAAATTTCAGATCATTTGGAATAATCCTTTTATTGTCTTTTAGAATGATAATTTAATCGTTTCAATCGAACGATTTTCTTATCATTCGTTTAGAACAATAACTTTAATCATTCTTTTGAAACAATTCTTTTATCATAATTTTTTTATTGTTCATTTAGAACGATAATTTAATCGTTCTAATCAAATGATTTTTTATCATTTGTTTGAAACGATAACTTCAATTATTTTAAATGAATGATTCTTTTATTATTCTTTTAGAATGATAATTTAATCATTCTAATTAAACGATTCTTTTATCGTTCGTTTAGAATGATAATTTAATCATTCTAATTAAATGATTCTTTTATCGTTCGTTTAGAATGATAATTTAATCATTCTAATTAAACGATTCTTTTATTATTCGTTTAGAATAATAATTTAATCATTTCAATCAAATGATTCTTTTATAATTCTTTTAGTATGATAATTTAATCATTCTAATCAAAC